AGCTAGATCATTTCCCCATTTTCAACAAGAGTCTGCACTGGTTTTCCTGCCTCTTTCATTCTGAATGATGAAACACACACATTATTACAGTCTGTGGCAAAGCGAGAGCATCCAGATTTGCAAAAATGCTGTTGAATGAGAGGAGTTTGACGAAAGTTACCATGAATCTGAGGGTGTGTGAGTGTAGAATAATAATTGTAAGCATTTTAATTTACATTGTACATTTGTACACCCGTTCAGATGGAGTGGCCCCAAACAAACCAAATATATATATTTATAGACTTTATATATACAAATATATATCTATCTTGACAGATATATATATATATATCTCATTTCTTTTAAAAGGATAAAAGGTTACATCTTTCTTTGCATGCACAGCTGAGAGCTCTGTCTGGCTCATTTGGACCCTGGGCTTGACACTACAGGGAGCTGCAATCCAGCCACTACAAGCACGTTCTGTTGGTTGAATTCATCTCTCCTTCCCTGCCATCAAGACATGAACCCATAGGAGAGGAATAAACCCATGATGCTTATAAACATGGGACTCCATAGGCCCAGATCCCACCACTGACGTCACTCTGCAGGGAGTGTGCTTAGGAGTATTTTTATTGCTAATCAAATAACCACTTCTCTACATAAGTGAGGCATCACCCACCTCAAGTCACACTTCCCACTCCCTTCCCACTTCGGATTACAGCAAAATGTTCTTATTTTTCCCAGAGTCCTTTTTCATTCCTTTCCATGAGCTTCTCCCTGCCAATCACAGGGAATCAAGCAAATGAAGGGAAGGGAGAAAGGGAAGAGGGGCAGAGTTGACAGCAGAGGAAATGAGATCATAAAAGATCACCAAAAAGCCCAATGATCTTTCCTTTGGAGGCTTCCAGATACAAAGAACTCTGACAACCCTCAATGGCTCCCCTTCCCCTCCAAAACAGGATGGGGGGGCACTGCTTGGCTCATTTACAGGAGAGAGAGAGAGAGAGAGAAAGAGGTCTCTCCATCTCCAGATAGGGCCAAGGGAGCCGATTTTAATTTTTTTTAAAATAAGGGTTCAAATGCTTGTAAGGGAGATAAATAGGCACCACGTCAAAAAGGCAAAATTTGGATAAGGCTAAACAAACAGGAGAAAAATAAATTAAACAGAAATTGCACTGGCCATGTCCTTTTGCCACAGAGACAGGCATAGCACCAGGCCCACAGGGCTGTCCGTCTTCTGCCCGCGGCTGGGCAAGTGGAACTCCAGAAGAAACAACCCCCACCCCCCTGCCCTCACCGGCCACGTCTCTGGACACATCTCCTTCGGTCGTGTTTGCAGGGCACCGATATGTACAAGAGAAAACATTAGAGGAAGCAGGATGGGATTTCATGTCATAGAGCAGTGCTTTCTGAATCCTCCTCTGCACTGATTTTTCCTGGTACTGGATGTCTCTGGACTTGTCCCACTGGGTCCAGGTGGAGCGCGGTGGCATCAACCTCTACATGGATTGAAGGGATATCAAGATGGACAAGATCTGCAACCAAGCAAGGATATACAGGGAGAGACATGATTACCACACTGTTCCATGCCAAACTTGAGCCTCTTCCCCTCCACCCCCACCCCCCAGTAAACTAGCAAAACAGCTGAAGCTTTGACTTCAACTGAGTGATGATATATCAATTCATGGAACCTATTAATGCCCGAGAAAAGGGATGTCATAATATAGCTTTGGGTTGCACCTTTGGCTTGGATATGCTCTGAAACTGTCACCCTCCTTGAAAAGCTTCCACGGCTCACTTGCATTTCAGCTTGGCTGCATATCTCTCTCCATCTCACGTGATTCTTCAAAACTCCACCACAGGCTCAGAATCTGTTGCTAAGCTAGCCAATATAGCCTGCAGTTTCAGATTAAATGCCCTGCAACCTCACTTGAAATGCAAGGCTTGTTAAAACTGCTGTTTGTCAGATCATCTGTTGTGAGTGAGGATCTCCAGGCAACCAGGCAGGGGGAAAAAAGAGAGGTTACTTACCTGTAACCATAGTTCTTCGAGTGGTCCTCTGTGAATTCACACAAATGGGTTTTATTGCGCCTCCGCAGGACTTCTTGGAATATTCTAGAGCTTAAAAAGACGTGATTAGTAGGACGTTGCCCCATGACATGCATGCTCTGCTTGCCCATAATATGTCAGTTCCAAAAATGTCTGCCGCTGTCAAGGCTCTGATTGAAAGAAACAAAGCTCAAGACACTAAGTGACGGACAGCGGGGAGGATGGGCAGGATGTGCGCATTCACAGGGGACCACTCAAAGAACTATGGCTACAGGTAAGTAACCTCTCTTTCTTCTTCATGGCCTCTGTGAATGCACACAAATGGGTGACTAGCAAGCTCACTTACTGGAAGGAGGGCCATCACGCCAACAATGAAGTCAGCACAGCCCTTCCAAAACTTGCTTCCTTCTTGGCCCTGATGTCCAGATGGTAATGCATCACAAAAGTCAAGCGTGTAGACCAAGTGGCTGCTCAACAGATGTCAGGGACCTCAACGGCATGCAGCCAGGCAGTAGAAGTTGCCATAGCTCTCGTGGAGTGTGCTTTTAGCACCTCTGGTGGAGTTTTGCCTGCTAGGCCATAAGCTAAAGTAATAGCAAAGACAATCCACCTCGAGACTGTCTGTGAAGAGGCAGGAGAGCCTTTTCGTGGGCCATGGAAGCACACAAAGAGGCTGGGAGAAGTGCGAAAATCCTAAGTCATGACGAACATCGAGGGAGTGGAGCGTGCACTCAACATTAGAAGAAGGAGTTGGAAATAATGTCGGAAGAATCAAAGGTTGATTAACATGGAAATCTTTCACATGGAAATCTGAAATCACTTTAGGGAGGAAGGTGAAGTTTGGGTACAAGACAAATTTGTCTGGATAAAACTGAATATAAGGAGTTGCCGGTCCGAAGGGCAGCCAGCTCACTTGCTCAACGTGCATAAGTTATTCCCAGAAGAAAAAGCGTTTTCAGGGAGAGAAATCTGAGATGTGTCGAAGCCATGGGTTCAAAGAGAGGCCGAACAAGAGCACAGAGAACAATTTGTAGGGACCACTGAGGGAGTGAAGGCTGCACAGGTGGGTGAATGTTCTGCAAGCCTCTAAGAAACATCTGAGAGAAAACAGACGAGAAGCCTCAGATCCCGTAGGCTGATAGGATATTATTGCAGAAATATAAACTCTCAACGTTGAGTGGGCCAAACCTTGATCAAAAAGGTGACACAGAAACATGAGGAGGGTATCAAGCGAAACTGGAACTGTTGATAAACCTCTCGATGCAGCAGATCTAGAGAAAATATTCTATTTATAGGAATACAACAACTTAGTAGAGGGACTTTTAGGTTTATTTGGCACCTCTGCTATGGTGGGAGGCTTCTCAGGGCCGGGGTGACAAACCTGGCCGTTGTCCTGAGTAAGCAGATATGGCCGAAGAGGTAATCTCAGGAATTCAGACGCCATGGCTCTGAGAGGGGAAAACCATGGTTTTCGAGGCCACCATCAGGCTATTAGGATAGCATTGGCCTATAGGTGATGTAGCTTGACTATTGTCCGTTGGATGAGAGGAATGGGGGAAAAAAAGGTAAAGAAGGTCATCGACCCAGTCCACTATGAAGGCATCACCTAGAGCACTGGTTCTTAACCTTGGGTTACTCGGGAGTTTTGGACTGCAACTCCCAGAAGCCTTCACCACCAGCTGTCCTGACTGGGGTTTCTGGGAGTTGCAGTTCAAAAGCATCCGAGTAACAAAGGTTAAGAACCACTGACCTAGAGAGTTCACGCCGCGTCCTGCTCGAGAGCAGTAGTTGATGCATTTCGAATTGGCCTAAATGGCAAAGACGTTAAGATCTGGTACTCCCCACTGGCTGCAGAGATGGGAGAAAGCAGAGTCATCGAGGACCCATTCGTGGGTTTCGGTGGTCAGATGGCTTAAATGGTTGGCAACTTTGTTGTTTTCTGCAGACATATGAATAGCTACAGGGAAAATGTGGTGGTCATAGCACCACTCCCAGAGCTGGATTGTGAGATATAGAAGAGAGTGAATGGGTACCCCCTTGCTTGTTTATATAATACAGGGTGGTCATATTGTCTGTGGTAAGCTGGACTCCGCGACCAGCTAGGAGATGGAAGGCGCAGAAAAACTTGATGACTGCTAGCACCTCAAGGTGGTTGATATACAGTATTTTTCCAAGTTGGACCATAGGGCGTGAATTTCATGATTGCCACAGTTTGTGCCCCATCCTATTGGACTGGCATCCGTTGTGACCTGTATTGTCAACTGAAGAGCTCTGAATGGACAGCCCACAAGGAGATGCAGGACAAAGGTCCACCAAGTGAGTTGGCAAGCTAACTCTGGGGTGACAAGACGTTTGGAAGAATGATGTAATAGGGGGTCGAACTCGGACAGGTGCCAGGCCTGCAAGGAATGCACTTTGAGTTTTGTGTGTTGGAGCGCAGACGTGGTTGAAGCCATAAGCCTAGGAAATGTTGCGCGTGGCAAGCAGGAACCATGGCACAAAGTTGGGAAGGGCGAATGGCTCTCTTGAACTCTGGCTTTGATCAAATTGAGAAGCGCCCTGATATAATCTATGGTCTGCGATGGTTCAAGATGGGACTTCTTGAAATTGAGTTGTAAACTGAGTTCTTCCAGAGTCTGAAGAAGAAATGCAGAGTCCCTTCGGGCTGCGGAGTATGACCCTGCTACTATCAACCAATCATCTATATACGGAAAGACCGTGATGTTGTGCAAAGATAGGCAGCCACAGGAGCCATACAAGTCGTTGCAGCTGGAGCTTAAGGGCCGGTTTTGTTAACTTTTTGCACTCCGGACAGGAGTGAGTCTGGTGACTCTCACCGAGACAGAACAAGCAACGATTGTGACAGTCGGTAAAAGGAATTGTATTGGCACACGTCATGCAACGCTTGAATGGACCTGAGGAGGCCATTAAAAAAGGGCGGGAAGGGTGGAGACAAAAAGAAGAGATAACTCACAGGGAAACCTTTGTAAATAAAAAACCTGATTAAGTCTGTGATCCAATAATCGAAACCGTTAGTTCGTAAGATCAGAAGAATCATAAGATCAGATAATCACAAATTTGCTCTAGGAATTGCTACAGGAGTCTGATTTCAGCGGTGGCTAAAAGGAACTGAGGTATTACGGGTGGGCAGAGCATGAGCGCCACGGGGCAACATCCTACTAATCATGTCTTTTAAAGCTCTAGAATATTCCAAGAAGTCCTGCACAGGTGCAGTAAAACCCATTTGTGTGTATTCACAGAGACCATGAAGAAGTCTGAAAATTAAACCCTCACCCCTCTTTATCACACATACACGTATGTGGGCATCAGGTGACGAAAAACATTTGTAGGCAGGGAAACTATGTAGTTACTTGCTGGCGCTGCCTTAAGTTTCTTCATATTTTTAAAATATACAGCAGCAACTCATTTAGGAATAAGGTATCACTATGTATGTTTGTCGGCATGTGGGGGGAGCTAAAGCTTTATCAATAGTTGAACATCCCTCTATAATTGCTAAAAGTGGACCTCTTTAGGGAAGGAGTCTAGGTAGCAATAAGAGCCTCAAGACTTATGACTTTCCATTTCCTTACAAAGTGGTATGCATCCAATTCAGCTCCTCATGCAACCTTGCTGTTTCTCATGCTTTTTGTTGGCATGGTATCTATAGGTTTATCATCAGGAATATTCTAAGGGGTTAATTTTACATATCTGTCTGAATATTTGTTGAGGATCCAAAATATGTAGATTCTGGATCAAAGAAAAGTGTACATCTACTTGAAGAGGTATTGTTCTGTTATTCTCCTGACTGAACTGATTTATTAGTATAATTGTTCTGGAGTATGGCTATTCTTGCAATCACTGATGTTTGGGGCCAAGACAATCACAGCAGAGCTTTACTTATTTTTTAAAAAGGCTCTGAATTAAGATAATCATAGAATCGCAGAACTGGAAGGACTACTGAGTCCAACCTCCTGATGCAGCAGGACATTCACAACGAAAACATCCCTGATAAGTTGTTGTCTAACCTCTGTTTAGAAACCGCTGACAGAGAAGAGTCCACCACGCTTCAAGATAACATCGTTGAACAACTCTCACTGTCAAGGAGTTTTTCCTAACATTTTTTGGGGGGGTGGGGGAATCTCCTTTCTTGTAATCACAGAACTGAAGAGCTGGAAAGGACCTCATGGATCATCAAGTTCAATGCCTGTTAGAGAGGCACAGTGGGGAATTGAACTCCCAACCTCTGGCTCTCCAGGCAAATACCTAAACCACTCAGCTATCCAGCATTTGTTATCTGAATTCATTATTCAGGTCCTATCTTGTGGAGATACAGAGAGCAAGCTTGCTCCATCTTCCATGTGGCAGTCCCTTAAATATTTGAATATGGTTATCACACTGTCTTTAAGTCTTCTTTTCTCCAGCCTAAAAATACCCAATTCTTTCACCTCTCATTCACAGGGTTTGGTTTCTAGACATGTATCAGGCTGGTCACCCTTAAAATGTAGGATCAACAACTGGACAAAGTGTTCTAGGTGAGGTCTGATCAAAGCAGGATAGAATGGCACTACTATATATACGTGTATATATATATAGATGTTGCTGTTGATGGAGTCTAGCACTGCACTTACTTTTCTTGCCACTTTGCCACACTGTTGTCTCATGTTTAGTTTGGAGTCTACTAAGATCCTCCAATCCTTTACACCTTTCTACATTTAAATCAATTAAAAAAGCATGGAGGAGTATACGGGATGGAGTGAGAATCAGTGCAAAAGGTGCAGCCACTATTTATGACATGAAGTTCTTAAACATCAGCACTCAGGTGATTGCTTTCTCTGATTGTGAGAATGCCCATGCATACACACATATACATATGCATGTATTTCAGCAGGCAGATAAAATGTTCCACATTTTTCATGGCAGAAGTTCTTTAAAGGATTGAAGAGGATGGGGGTTATATCATTATATCACAATCCCTGGGGGCTGGTAGTGCAGGACTGCACTTGGTGCCAAGTTCCCACCATCAGCACTGCAACAGGAATCCTGCCCTATCCTGCCCTGTGTTCAACTGATACTGGTCAAAGAATACCAGAGACCTATGACACTGGAATCCAGCTGTGTAAAAATAGCTGGATTTCTCAACTTGCTTATGGAACCCCTTTTGGATTGCTCTGTCCTAGTCTCTCAATGACCCTGATAGCATGTAAGGAGCCACTATACTCCTTAACTGAGAGACTCTTCACACAGTATAATCTCTTTTCTTGCACCACTTCTTTCTGTCGAAATGTAATCTGGCAACAGTTTATACAATGGCTATTTGCAAGACAGGGAATTTGCACATGCCAAGACGTTCACATAAGGCAACCATTTCCCTCACCATCTCATTTCACACATAATTGTGGCGACCTCTTCCCATGATTTAGAAGTAAGGAAGCAGAAATTGTTGATCTGGGATGAGGAGAAATTAATGAGGCTTTTGTCTTGTTTGAGCTGAAGAGTGCCATTTTGCAAACACACCTGTTCTTACACTTTGACACAACATCCCATCAGTCCCGCACGCTGTAAATAGTGGTGCACATCCTACCTATGACTTTCTCCTGATCGTGAGGGGCTGCAGATGTGAAATATTTGGCTTCACTCATAACAGAGGGTGCCATTAATGTCCATTAATGGCAATATCATGACATCCCTTTGGAAAGAACATATGGAATGGTAGGAGGAGAGAGTCAACGCTGGTAAAAGGGGGGGGCAAAGTTAAGAGAGGTGAATCCTGTGGTTCAGAGAGGAATTAGTCCAATGGGTTCAATTTCCTGCACATTCAAAGAGTATCTGGGTATGAAAACCAGTGGTTCTGAGGAACACCCCCACCCCCCCAGGTTTACTGATAGCACCGTTATCAGTGAGCTTGGGGACAAGACCCGGCTGAAGGAGCCATGCAGTTTTGGGTCAGCGTGCCCCATGCAAGGCAGCAAGATGGTGAGGGTCAGGCCAAGGGCAAGGATGGTGGTGGTGGTGGTGGCGGCAGCGGCAGTGGTGGCGGCAGCAAAAAGGGCAAAGGTTCAGGGATAAGAGCAGGGACTCCAGCTTACCCTGAGCATTCCCCTCACACCTATCCAATATTGCATCACGTGCCTCAAACAGCTGCAAGGACACAATAATAGGATTGGGAGAAAGGAACAGAAGAGAAAACAGTAGCAACAAGATGAAAGTTGTATACAACAGAAATGTCTGTCAGAGCAAGACGCCAGTCTGCTTATAACCTCCAGCAGCAAGCTGGTGGGTGGCACAGGATTGTCTCACTGTTCATGGGCCAGACTTTTGGAGTAAAACACCTTCCTCTGGGTTCACACACACAGCTTTTGACATAACCCAAACTGCAGCAACGAGAGCCCTTTTCTGGATCGGACTGCAAGATCCAGACCCCTGGCATGCTGGAGGCCACTACACTTCACCTTCAGCTGATCCTGGATCAGTCAGACAGATCAAAGAGCTGCAGAGATGGGTGAAAAATACGCCCATCCCCTCTGGCTTGCTTCCCAGGCGTGCCTCTACCTTAGGAGAGACCCCTGAATAATAAGGCCCTGGCACTGAACCCTAAAGCAGATATAGAAAGGCAGGGAATGGTACCCTCCCCAAAGAAAGACAAGTGCAAATGATCAGATACTTCCCAGTTCTCATCTTTAGGCAGAAATGCCATTTCTCAAAGATTTTACAAAGATACAAGAGGCCATTCTAACCAGTGCTGATTTCAAAAGGCAGTCATGTTGCTCCCACATCATTTTAGCACTACTAGCCACTAACATTATCATTTCCACAAGTATAAGGTTAGATAATGCTGCTAGCTGTGCCAACAGGCTGCAAGGTGGAGCTTAGAAGCGCAAGGTTTTCCAGATGATGCTGGACTGCAGCTCCCTTGAGGCCCAGCCAACACTGAAGAATCTCAGGAGCTGTAGTTCAAGAATGTCCAGAGACCCCGATATTCCCCAGGCATGCTGTATACTATTGTTGTAACCTACAACTGGGTTATTAGTTGTTTATCATACAGAAGATGTGCACTCTAGCACTTCGAAGTGATGCAAGTGTTTTCCTGAGGGTCAAGAGGGAGAGAAAAAACAAACAAACCAGGAATGTCTGGGCACCCAAAAAAGAATAACTATGGAAAGATTTGCATGATGTCTGAAATGGAAAGCCTCTTGACCGCTATTTTACACTCACAGCAGAACAAAGAAGGGTTGTTGCCCTTGAAAGGGAAGTACCATTTTAATTTGCCAGCAGAATGATTTGTGGATGATCTCTGGGACATATCCTTCCCCTGAAGGATAGGATTAATGTTGCTTTTGTCTGGAAAGGCCTCCAAAAGATTCCTAATTAAAAAGGTCTGTATTATCTCTGCTTTCACATTCAAGCTTTCCCTCAAGGACATTCTTTTAAGTAACAAGCAGCGTTTTAGACCAGCTCACCTGCTCCCTTCACAACACTCAGAAGGAGGGCATAATCAGGAGGTTCTGTACCACATCCCTCAGTCCCTATGTAGGGATGTGTGAAATATCTATATAATAATAATAACAACCACCATGTGTCATCAAGTTGACTCTGACTTATGATGTTGCTTTCCAGGATTTTCCAGGTACACAGAGGTGGTTTGCCAACTCCCTTCTTCTGAGGGGCACCCTGGGCTTTGCAGCTTGCCCGAGGCCGCACAGACCGGCTCTGCTCCCTGGAGGCACAGAAAGGAATTAAACTCCCAATTCCCTCTAAACCACTGGAGCTATCCAAGCAGCTAATCTGTATCTATGTCTGTATCTGTCTACATCTTTCCGCTTGCTATTATGTTCTATGTACAACATTTCCTTCTGAACAGTGAGCTGAGAAGTTTCATTTTATGTCAGTATCTCTTTTCTCCAAAGAAAAATGAAGTGCAGTTCATTGACTATTTGCCATCATGTGGGGAGGAAGAGAGAAAAAAAATTAAAGACAGTATCAGCCAGAAACGATACCTTACGTGTCTCCTAGGTGATGATGGCCTATGCAGACCCTGGCTTTGCAGTGGCTGCTCCTCCTTTTTGCTATTTTGGGATGCCTGCCAACAACTGTATCTTAGCCAATCAAAAGGACTGCCAAGCAAGGACACTCAAATAGTTCCTGCTAGCAACGTCAGCCCCCCTGGCCCCATAAGGAGTAGCCCTTTTCCCATTCCATTACCTGTGGACATGCTCTCCCCGGGTGACATGCCGTCTAGTATGGTGTGCTCCGTGGACTGTGGACTAGAGCCAGACGCATTTGATGTGGGAGGCTGTGGAGGTGGCAGCGTGGGCCTCTGCCGTGGTTTGGGGGTGGGGCGAGATTTGGTTAAAGTGCTTGTCAATGAAGGAGGAGAAGACAAGGAAGGAGCAGCGGCTGGGGAGAGTGGGCCTGAGCCCAGGGAGTAGCCTGGTGGATAACTTAGTCCATAGGGTGATGGAGTGCTTGGTGGGGTAGGAGAGAGACTGGCAGGGGATGGCTGCCCTGTGGACTGATCGGACATACCACCTAACTGGCCATAGGGAACCTTGGCAGGAATGGGGGCCAGCTTCTTCGAAACTGTAGGAGACAGAAAGGAGCGGGGGAGAGAGAGAGAGAGAGAAAACACCATTAGTTACTGAAGGAGTGGTGAACCTTACACAATTGGTTCTCAGAATGGTACTGACCTAACTCGTCCTTTATTAATGGAGGTTCCAGTCCAGGGGCAACTAATGCACAGGACAAACTGTGGCTAGGAGGCAAACCTGAAACAAGTTTTTTTTTTTTTTTTTGCTGCCAAGCATAGCTCATCCAGAAGAGTACCATATTGTTACAGCAGCTACCTCAAGATAGGGAACCTGTGGCCTTCCAGATGTGGCTGGACTAAATCTTCCAGCATTTCTCATCACTTGCTGTGGTGAGCAGTGCTGACAGGAGATGGAGGTCTTGCAAATCTGGAGGCCCATGAGTTCCCAATCTTCGTCTAGCCCGAGAAACTACATAGAGGAAGCAGACTAGACACAGGATTTTATATATGCTGTCAAATGTTCTGTACGATTTTTCCCTTTTGTCTTCCCCCCCCCCCCCCATTTCAGTGATTAGTGGACTGATTCCTCAAGAGCAGCTTCCCAATCCAACTCTATAGATCCTGTAAGTAATTTGATAAATCTGATTCCTGACAACACAATTCCTGTAATTCTTACGATATCCATTATCTCTTCCTTTTCAGTATTCAAGGAGGTAATTGGGGAATCAACCACATTGTTTTAGATTAGGCATCCTTCAGTCTCGAGAGACTATGGTAACGTGCTCTGTATGGAGGACTTGGAACAGCGTCTAATGTGGCTGAGAAGGCCAATTCAAGAGTGACAATCCCTCCAACACTGAAGACAAATGCAATCTGTCCCCTGTCCAGCTCCCTGATTTTGCTGCCTTCGGGACTGCCTCTTTGCCTCGGCCTGCTGGACAGGGGTCTCTTCAAATTGGGAGAGGCCATGATGCACCGCCTGCCTCCAGGCTGAACACTCAGATGTCAAGATTTCCCATCTGTTGAGGTCCATTCCTAAGGCCTTCAGATCCCGCTTGCAGATGTCCTTGTATCGCAGCTGTGGTCTCCCTCTGGGGCCGTTTCCCTGCACTAATTCTCCATACAGGAGATCCTTTGGAATCCGACCATCAGCCATTCTCACGACATGCCCAAGCCAACGCAGATGTCGCTGTTTCAGTAATGTATACATGCTAAAAATTCCACCTCATTCCAGGACTACTCTGTTTGGAACTTTGTTCTGTCAGGTGATGCAAAAACTGCGTCGGAGACAACACATATGGAAGGTGTTCAACTTCCTCTCCTACCATGCACAAAGGATCCAAGACTCACTGCAGTACAGGAGTGTGCTCAGGACACAGGCTCTATAGACCTGGATCTTGGTATATGCCGTCAGTTTCATATTAATCCATATTCTCTTTGTGAGTCTAGAGAACATGGTAACTGCTTTCCCAATGCGTTTATCCAGCATGACATCTAGGGAGAGGGTGTCAGAGATCGTTGACCCAAGGTACACAAAGTCATACTCCGATTCTTGTGTGGAGATGGTAACAGAGGGAAGTGAGTCCACGCCCTGGCCCATGACTTGTGTTTTCTTCAGGCTATTAATCCAAAATCTGTTAAGGTAAAGGTAAAGGTTCCCCTTGACAATTTGTCCAGTTGTATCCGACTCTAGGGGGCAGTGCTCATCTCCATTTCCAACCCACAGAGCTAGCGTTTGTCCGAAGACAATCTTCCATGGTCACGTGGCCAGTGTGACTAGACATGGAATGCCATTACCTTCCCACCATGGTGGTACCTATTTATCTACTTGCATTTTGCATGATTTCGAATGGCTAGGTTGGCAGGAGCTGGGACAAGTGACGGGTGCTCACTCCGTCGCGTGGATTCGCTCTTACGACTGCAGGTCTTCTGACCTTGCAGCACAGAGGCTTCTGTGGTTTAACCTGCAGGCCTTACTAAAATGATTCATAAATCGTAGGAGCTCTTCAGCAGAGTGGGCGACAACAGCTGCATTGTCGGTGAAGAGGAAGTCTCGCATGCATTTCAGTAGGACTTTGGTCTTCGCTCTCAATCTAGAGAGATTAAAGAGCTTTCCATCTGATCTAGTCTGGAGATAGAAACCTTCTGTTGAGGTTCCAAAGGCCTGCTTCAGCATGACAGCAAAAAAGATCCCAAAAAGGGTCAGCGTGAAGACACAGCCCTGTTTCACTCCACTTCGGATGTCAAAGGGATCTGACGTTGAGCCATCAAAAACTACAGTGCCCTTCATTTCCTCATGAAAGGACCTGATTATGTTAAGGAATCAAGGTGGACATCCAATCTTGGGAAGTATTTTTAAAAAGTATTTTAAAATATTTTAAAATACCACATCGTTATTACCTTTTTTGTATTTTTAAATCTCCACATTACTTTTTGAATTAACAGAATTAATTCACAAAGCAAGCCTGAACCATGAAATAATACACCCAACTCAATTCAGCCTATGAGATCCTACACAAAGTTCTTTAATATTTTGCAAAACATTTGCCTATTTTTGTCACATCGAACTCTAGACCAAAGCAGTACATTTTTCTTTTCCTCATGAGGAGTTGAAAGGCAAGGAGCCTGAGGAGCAGCATCTTCCATTTGTGACTCTTTCCAGCTTCTTCCACTGCTGCTGTCTGGTTTGGCACCACTCCCTACCCCCACCGCGTGGCTGTGGATGTTGCAAGCTAAACAATGCCATTTGCATTTATCAGTAGGAGGAGCAGGCTGTCCAAACGTTTCCAAGGTTTCTATTCAAGACAGGGCTTGTCTCCTCTTCTTACCTCCAAATCTATTTCCAACAGACCATACTTGTTTGATCTGGCAGCTTCATTTCATTATTTCACTCCATTCATCTCAGTTTGATTAGATTTTTAAGTCAAAGTCGCTGTAAAAGTGACAGTCTTAGGCAGCTAAGAGAAAGAAAATCTAACAGCACCACTGCAATTGTTCGTAGAGAAAATAAGAGAATGATTTTTTAAAAAATGCAACTTACCCTGCCTAATTAAAGTGACTGTGCCAAGAACTTTTGGATAGGATACCCCTCCCCCCCCAAATTTAAATAAATAATTTAAAAAAAAGAAAAGGAGAGGAAAAAAAGGTTTATTCATGCCCCGCTCTGACAGGAGCTATTCATTATATGACCCTCCTGTTCAGACATTCTGCCTACCTTTCCGCAAGGTGTGTGGGCTCTGTTCTGTGGACAGCTGCTGCGTGGGACCAGGTGGCTGTGGGATAGTCCCAACACATGGTGTCACCTGTCCACAAGCCGGGCTGCTCTTCTGCCCAGACCCGGGAGACGGCTCCTTGGTTTTTAACGTGCTAAGAAGCAGAAGGTGAACAAGAAGCAGCAGCCGTTAACCTCTTTGCATGAAGGGTGCCTTCGGCAAATTCCTCCACCCCTCCTCCAATGCCAACCCCACCTCCAGTTCCCATAAGAGCCCCACAATCTTTTGCTAAGGAAAGCCAGTGATGCTTGCAAAGCAAAGCGTTTCTATGCCCTGTTAATGAACGCATGCCCATAGTCCCAGACGAGCTTCCAGTTCCACCTTCAAAGCAGACTGACCATGGCACTAGAGCATGAATGGAGCTGCAGCCTGCACTCAGTACACAGCAATGATACACAACAAAAATGGAGGGAGCCCGCCTGGCAGCGTAAAGGGGCATATAAATTGGTCATCCTGGCTAAAAGGGAGGAATGTGCCCTTGAGGTTAACAGATGCTGTGCTGAACCTGGAGAGTCATCTCTGTTGTCCAAGTTTCTTCCTTAACTACTACACTTAATTTACAAGATAGCACCAGATGGTCATCTAGCAGGCCTGGCCAGTCTTTGCCAAGGTCCAGATAAACCAAGAAGCAGAGGGAGCAATGATTTAGCTCAGTCAGGCTGAGGGGGGAAAGTGTAGGCACAAACAATCTCTGGTGAGATAGATGCAATGCAAGGTAGTTGGCCAGACCAGGCAACTAAATGTGGTTATTCGGAAGTTCTATAGCAGAAGGAACCAAATTCCTTAAGGCCACACGTGTGCTTCCTAGTTAATTAGAAAGCAGTGGGCAGATAGGCCTTGAAGAACTTACTGGATTGGAATAGTTGCTATGGTCCAGGCTAAAAACCTGCAAGACTCTTCAATTCTAATGAGAAAAACTGGATAATATGGGTAACAGACACTAAAGGCCTCACTAAACCACAGGCACCTTTACCAGTTAAGCTGTCAGTTTCCCCGAAGAGTTTTGGGAATTGTTGCGTGTGAACTCTCTTGTTGAGAATTACAGACACCTCTTGCCTTCTCACAAAACTTCAATCCCCAGGGTTCCCAAGGGAATGAATGACCAGTAAACCTGATCAAGTCTTTAGCTTAGACGAGGCATCCAAGAATTGTTTCTTCTAGTCTGTCAGCTGATACAGCTGAACTCTTTGCCAGCAGGCTTGCCTCAACCTGTAGGCTAAGAGGTAAATCTTGTTCCTTTGCTGAAGCAACACGGGGCATAGGCCCCATCCCATGCACCAAACCCTAGTAGAGGGCCAGTCAAGCGGCACTCGTTCTTTCACCACGCACAATGACCTAGCATTGCCAAATAAGTAATTATTTACCTAGTGAGCCCGGCTCCTCTGTCTCTGGCACAGATGCAGCTGACCCAGGGGGGAGAGACTGACACATGGGAGCTGTGAGGAGTGCCAGGAGGATCGGGTTTGGATAAGGTGAGGAGGGGTTTCATGTAGACAGAGGACAGGTTAGTCTCAGGAGAACCATGCAACTCTGTGAAGGAGCTCTGCTTAGGGAGATGCAGGAAATACGGTTTAGGGTTAGAGTTAATGTCAAGCTGCTGAGGGGAGGGGGAGGAAGAGGAAGAATGAGGAGGCAGGGTTTGGCTGTACCCTGACCACCGGTAGAGTGGCAAGGGAGGCTCAGGCCTAGTGCATGGGCTAGTCTTGGGGTGATAGGGGTGGAAAGATGAGTAGCAGGGGTATGAGGGAGGCTTGTTGTCCTCAGGGGATGGGTAGATGTAACAGGAATCCGACCAACTAGACGACACACCATCCGTGCTGCAAATGTCCAAAACAACAAAACAAACAGGAAAAAAAAGAGAGCAGAGAGTGTTTGTACAGGGAGGAACTGAACAGGAGTTTTGAAAACAGCCCCAAAGCTGAGGGAATAGGGGCAGGGAGGGGAAAAATAGAGGGAAAAGAGGGGCTCCCAATCTTTACAAACACCAAGGGAGGGGGGCAGTGGGCCCCAGGTTTCTGAGATGGAAGCACCAGACCTGCCTTCTCTCCCTCATAAGCCATCTACTTGGAAATTCAAAGCATACAGTACATGACAGAAACCAGAATCTAAATCCTTGCATGGCCTCCTTTGGACCTGGCTGTTCCAAGATGGAGCCATTTGGAACAGCTGGCTAGAGAAAACTGCAAAACACCCTAAATCTTCTGAAGTCCTGTAGGATTTTGTTTCAGGAGTGGAAGTGTCGGGCATTAGCTATATTTTACTACTTGTTCAGTATGTATCCAGGCTTTTCTACACTGATATGTTAGATTCTATAATACTCTGACTTTGCCTCACACTCTTGCTATATTAGTCCCGTGAATCTTTTTCATGCACAGAACATTTACTTATCTGTGACAGAAAGATAAACCACCGTCACAATTTTGACTTCTGCTGCATTAGTCACATTTGCAAAGTCCTCTTTTTCTGAATGTAAGGAGATGATTAAATATATCACAGAAATTAAGAAGAAAATCAAGCTCATAGCCATTTCAGGCTTTATTGTGGGATCTGTGGCAGTGTGTATCTGTCACTGAATTGAGATGTTTTGTACCTGGAAAATGATAATCCTTGACTTGAATAGTCTTAGGATACTGGGCAAGAATAACTCATCACAATACATAAGAATGGGCCCCAGGGCATGGACAGTAGAATATGCTGCCTCAATATATTGGGAAGTTAAGTGCTATAAGAAGAATATCGGTCAGAGCTCTACTGATCAAAAGAAAGGTGGGACAAGAAAGAAGGAGAGAGAAAGTAGCAGGGCAATGTTTTGAAATGCAAAGCCAGACAAGTACGAAGGTTTGCAAACTTACTCCTGGACGCTTTCCAAACTGCCTGGTATTTGTTTGCAGATGAAGGATACCGAGACCCCATGAAGCAAGAAAGCATGGAATGAGTTCTAATGAAGATGCATGCCCTTATTTCAAGGGCTAGATTTAGGTTGCTTGCTGTTCCTCCTTTTTGTCTTGGCTAGTATGAACTAACAGTAGAGGTGCCTATGCACAGGTAAGCTATAGAAGGGGGGAGCTAACATCATTAGTTGCCATGACGTGTGAGAGGTAATTTACGGCTGCCATCTCTAGCAACAAGTTGGAATGGACTTGTAGCTAATACTTCAATAGTTGCAAAGTTCAGTTCTAAGTAGCTGGCCACAAATATTTTAGCAGTAACAGCCATCATAAACACCTCTTGCACAGCATGGCAAAAGACAGGTGTAACTCCTTCTAAAGGGAATGCAGGGAACACATTAAGAGGGGTAATATGCCATCAGCTTATTACTGCTGCAGAGAAATACTGGCGAAAGGTGGGAGGGAATCGGAGTAGCAGATGATCTCAATTTAATACAATAGAGCTTGCAAATGTGCCAAAATCAGGTTGAACCTCCTTGTACTAAAAACTGGACTTGGCAGACAACTTCAGCTCAGTCAAGCTGAGGACAGAGGTGCAAGCATAAATGATCTGTGGCAAGACAGATGTGATGCCAGGCAGCTGGCCAGACCAGGCAACTAAATGTACTACAGTAATTCTAAAAATATATGGTGGAAGGAATCAAACTCTTACAGGCCATAATGTGTACTTCCTCTGTCATTAACAAGCAGTGGGCACCTTGAACAGGCTTATTTTTAAAACCTCAGAGAATACTTCATTATCATATATATTATAATACAGTCTCATTATGGCTTCAAATTTTACATTATTTTGCACTATTTCTACCCACCAGGATGCCAACCACCATATTCAATTCCTTTGTCAAATTCTGTTGTTTTAATAAAAATTCAGATCTATGCTTTTATAAAAGCAGAAAAACTTGATTTAATTATAATTCAATAAATAAAATACATGGGTGAACTGTATGAACACTTATTCCAGTCATTTAAAAATAATGCACATTGTTCTACAATCCCATTCTCCTATGGCAAATGTTCTCTTCTTTTACATTTTGTTTTTATCCATTTTAATGGCTGTCACACTTTCTCCTTCCAATCAGTAAATGGATGTATTTCTTTTATTTTCCATAATTTAACTATGTAAATTCTTGCCATTGTCAAAAGATCAGAATTATTTCTATATCCATTCCTAATGCTTCTGAATCCAGTGCATTTAAAATTACTGTTTTAGGGCTATGGGTTAAATTATATGCAGTACTCTTTGAATCACATCAAACACAGCCTCACAAAATTTTTATATTTTTCTAATCTGCCCTTAAATAACTACATCTTCAATGAGGCACATTCTTTCCAAGAACTTTAAATAATCTATATGAGGTATACTACCACTAGTACATTATTTTTTAAAAAGATTAATATTTGAGCTGATCAGAATAGGAGGGACATTATTAAGCACCCAATTCCACTATGCCTGATTTCAAGGTTATAATACACCTTTTCCCACGTCTTCCTATAATTGGGATATGATCTAATGTACTTAATATCAGGAAGTATTGAGTAAGCTTTAGTGATCAACAGTAGCTGCAAAGAGTAAGGCCTGGAGGCCAGGGTAAATACTAAATTTCTACAAAGTAAAAAGAGAAACCTTATTCAAGAATTCTTGATTCTGCCATATCTCTACCTCTGTTTTCAGAAAATACATATAATGAAAAAGAGGAAGAGGCTACTGTTGAGTCTGTCTGGTCTCTCCTGTGTGGTTCACCCCCAGATTTAGTGAGCATGTGGACATGCATTACATTAAAGGGCTAATTCCATGCTTGCTTTTACTCAGGGAGCGCACCTATGGCAGAAGCACAGGCCAGAAACAAAAGCATGATATCTGATGGAGAACCTCAATTCCTTGCACATATAGCTGGCTTGCCACAAAGCTGACCTTCTGAATGAGTCCAGAGCACAAAATAACTTCCATTGGCAATGGCAGGTTGAAAAAGCTGGGACTGAAAAAAGACAATGACAGGATGCAGTTTCGTCTTCAGCTGGGGCCTCCATCATTTTTACTTGTGCTCAACTGTCCAGCTATGAAATGTAGGGCCTCAGAGAACTGAAAATTCAGTAAATTTAGAGTGATTTGGGAAAAGCCAAAATTGCACCTTATTCAAAGACAGCCCAGAAATGAAATCAGCAGGCTGAGTATTGAAATGTCATAAAGATTTTAAATGAATGTAAGCCGACCTCGTGTATCCAAAGTTATTATTCCAAGAGAAGGCAGAAGGAAACTGGATTGTCTGTCCGTTCTCTGCAATAGTTTATTAGCAGATATTGGCTACAAATCAAGAAAAATGTTCTGCTTAATAGCCTTGGTGTCAGTCTTCCTTGCAATCTATTTTCTTTGTGGCGGGAAGACTTTTCTTTGGCTTACATTGACAGGAAGAGCCATTATTTTGTGTCTGAATTCTCTCTCTCATTCGTTCATATAAGACACACAAACACACAAACACAGTCCCACAGTGAAAGCTGAAGCACAGTTAACGGTGGCCCATGCAGGTGTGGGAGAGGCAGACATATTCACAGAGACCGCAAGAATACAGAAAACAGGGGCAGCTACTTGTGCTGCCTCTGGCACTTACCTTGCTCGCTCTGTCCCTGATGGGAGACTGAAGCTAGTTGGAGTAGGGGAGGGAGTAGCTGACATGTCAAGAGATTGCTCAGGAATTGGTGACTGAGGAGTAGCAGGAAGATCGGAAGGCGGAGCAGGGGGCTGCATGGCAGGAGGGGTGGAGGATGCCTTACGAACTATGGAGGTGCCTCTGCGAGCCACCCAAGAGGTGTCCATCACCCGGACGCCCATGCTATGAGGGGGAACACAGAGATATTCCCTTAGCGCCTTAGGAAGTAATATTTAGACCATTAAACACATGTCTATAACTTGCAGGGGGGAAGAAGGGAAATCATCTAGGTACCTCCAGGTCTGTATGGACTGTGGGATGGCAGATATAATCCTGACAACACAGTGAGAGCCAAGCATTTACAACTCAGAGTTCACGTCTCCAGACAGGGAGCCAGTGCTTTAATGCTCTATTCAGTGGAACCTTGTTGACTCCATCAAAAGGTAAAAAATATAATACAGGGATTTACTGCCCTGGGAGGCTCTGTTCAAAGATCTCCTCACCTTTCTGATTCTGGGCACCTTTCCATTGCAAGGTTAGGGACAGAACATTTCAACATCAACTACCCAGGCAATTTTATGCCCCTATCAAAAGATTATTAGCCATGTTAGGCTTTGCTTGGTGGGTGAAAAATTGCTGTGTTACCCAGCAGCTATTCAGGAGTCATGGGGCAATTGCAAAAGCAGTGCTCTCTTTTGAAGGTTGGCAGTGTTCAAGGTGAGAAATTTGTAACCTACTAGAAATCACTGGACTGCAACTTCTTTCAGAGACGGCAAGCGTACCCCAATTCCAAGGCATGATGGAATCACAGACCAGCAACATCTGGAATGTTGAAAGTTGCCCACTCTTTTTTAGATCCAAGGAAGTCTTCTGCATTTTTTAAAGGATTTCAGCTCCCAGAATATCCCAGCACAACCAATGGTCATGCTGGCTATAGTGTTCTGGAAGTTTCATTCTTAAAATACCGTATTTTTCGCTCCATAAGACGCACAGACTTTCCACCCCCCTGTTTTGTGGGGGAAAAGTGCGTCTTATGGTGCGAAAAATACGGTAAGTAACTTTTCCAAGCTCTGCTCTTACTGGGCTACAAGAATGAGGAGACTTGGGTTTACGAGGCCTTTCTGAAAAGTCACCACCTTGCAAATAAGGGGGACTACAAATAACATTTGGGGGGACTACATTTCTTCTTGAAAGTGTGTAGTCAGGACAAATTCCAAAGAGGAAGCCATGCACTCTTTTGCATTATAAACAGTGGCAAGGGAGTTGGGGGAGAAAGCCCTGCAATGAAATGAACGGGGACAACCCTCTGTGATGGAGCACATCCTTTGCATGCACAAGACACCAGTTTCGACCCCACCATCTCAATTTTAAGGACCACAGGTTGCACAGTTAGGAAGAGCCTCTAAAACTTTGGAGATCAGTTGGCTGTCAAAGCAGACTCTTCAAAAGGCTGCTTCGGACATTCAGAGTGCCTTCCAAGGGCAGGTTCCAGTCTGACTATGCAGAAGGGGAAAGCTGGCTTGAACTCTGCCTTGCCGTGGCACTATATGTGGCATGGGAGGGCTTCAGGTGGCAAGGCCGTGGGTGCTCTGTCCTGAGTGGGTCTTGACAATGGAATTAGGAATGATCCAAGAGCTACCCAGAGGATACCGTACCTTTGAATTTTCCTAAGGCTGCATGGACAGAAACATACAGATATTAGTGTAGCACAAACTAAGGCTGAGTGCCCCTCTTTTTGCATCAGTGTGGCTGCCTTTAGGAAAGGAGCCACAATGCCCAAAGCTGCAGTTTGGGAACAGCATGGAAACGGGCTATTCTGCTACAGAGAAGCATATCACTAAGTAGAGAAAAGGGATAGTCCATGATAGAGGGACCCAGAGAAAATTAAAGGATTATCTGAGACATGAATTGTTTGCTCTCTCTCTCTCTCTCTCTCTCTCTCTCTCTCTCTCTGTGTGTTTATGTAACAGAGTGAAAGAGAGGGAGGAAGAGGGAGGGAGAGAGAGAGAGAGAATTGAGGAAAGGGAGGTTGCAAGTGACCATGACATAGACCTATGGTCATCTATCTGTGGCTCTTCTCTTGGGATTAACGCTTTGCACACTAGAACTGTTTTATGACTGAAAAAGGGACAGTATAGGGTATCACAAAATAACACTGCATGCAGAGAACTCCCCAAGTGTGCTTACAATGCCCAAGTGAATATTCCACCAAGACACCTTCCTCTCAATCTCAAAGCTTCTTCTCCTTGAACTCTTTGGTATTCTTGTTCCCACAACCAATTTTATCTCCTTTATGGCATACAGCCCAAACTACAGTGTGGAGGTAGGGGTGGGCTTGACACAGAAAAAGAGCGCTACACAAGCTTACAATGCCGCAAACTTTTCTTACCACCTACTATTTCCTGCTGCCATCATCTGTGGCCTAGACTGGGATCAAATTTAGCTCAGTGGCTGTAGCTCAGAAAGGCTTCCTGCCCCTACTGTGCACTGGAGAGAAGAGTTGCTTGCTATCTGAACTTAAGGTACAGGGAGAACAAAGTCAAGAGGATGTTCTTGACCATAATTAGAAATTGCTACTGAACATGGGAGAGAACTTGGATTTTCAATGTAAAGTGGGCAGAACCTCGGGTGGGGGTGGGGGAGCTTCACTAAGCCAACATGGAAAATTTCAGTAAAAACTGAAAGTGATGTTCATTTAATTTATCAAAAGCCTGTGAGCTTCAGATCAATTAGGCTGTAATCGTATAAATATTTGCCTAGATAGAAATCCCATTGTATCCAACACACACAGGACTTTACATGTTACATCACTAACTGGAATGATTCTATTAGAGCTCTAATCGTATATTAAGATAATTGCTTCATATATTAAGACCCTGAGTAGATATATACTGTGTAGCTTTGCTCGAAATGTGCAAGCCAGAAGAAGGGAATGATAAACGATTTCTGAGTACTCTCCACCTGGAAAACTATGAAAAAGTCAGAATTGACTTGAGGGCACATGAATGTATTACTATTAGGCTCACTTTGCTTTCAAAAAATAAAATAAAAAATACACCCCACCCCCCATTAGAACATGCCAGGAAAGGATATATGAATTACGGTCTTTTCTACCAATCAATGGTAGTTCATCAAAAACAAACAAAATAACTAAACCTTGGCCTCTTCTACTAGATAAAGGCAGTTCCATCTAGGTTTTTAAAATATATAATTAATTGATCCATTAAGAATCGGTGAGTCAATTAAAAGTTTGCGCACAACTGATCATGTTCTGTTAAAAAGGGTGGAGGATCTGAGCGCACAAGTAGCTACAAAAACTATACATGTAATATTTTGAATGTTTGAGCTTTTTCACTTTAATAGACAAAATCAGCACCAGACTTCAATCTATGCAAATTTTCATTTCAGCTAATACATAATGTGCCATCTTAGTCACATGCCTGGACAATTTAGATGTGCCCTAGTACTTTGTCAATTTATTTATTGTATTTATTCGAAATCTGTACCACCCATTTTGTCTACCTAGCCACTCTGCATTTAGTTGCAGCAGGTCATGCCACCAACAGGATTCCAGTCTATGTATAATTCTCTTTTTATATGTAGTTGTCAGAGAGTAAGACTGGAACTTGGGGGGGGGGGAGCAGCAGCTGAAGCTTATGGGGTGATATCGACCTGATTGCTCTCCCTCAGTCTGACTGACCCAATCTGACCTACAAGGGTGTCAGGGGAGTGAAGCAGAGAGGAGGGAGTGATGTATATTGTCATGAGCTCCTGGGAAGAAAGCTGGAACAGAAACAAATACAGTCAACCCTCGACTTACGAACGTCCCTATATACGAACTTTTCGATTTACGATAGGCTCCATTCACAAAAATTGCCATGGACTTCCGAACGGACCCTCAACCTACGAACGAGGTCGAGGCTCCGTTTGCAAGTCAATGCCATTTTTTGCGAACGGAGCGATTGGCGCCTTCGGAGGTCTCAAAGGGCTTTCCACCTGATGTCAGAGGAAGCCCTTTGAGAGCTCCGAAGGCAAAAAGGCAGGGAGAAAGGGCTGGAAATTTGAAGCTCCGAAGGTAATTTTTTGAAATGCTCCAATGGATTAATTCCATTCCCATGCATTTCAATAGAAAATGGTACTTCAATTTACGAACTTCTCGACATACGAACACTGTTCCAAAATGGATTAACTTCGTAAGTCGAGGTACCACTGTAAGTACAAATAAAAATGTAGGGAAAGACCAATATCCCACACCTTGAGGACAGAGGAGATGCTGGCATGTTCAGGTACTGTGGAAAAGAGCTGTGCATGATGGCTGTCATTATACAGTGAATTGTTACTAACACCCGTAAGCAGGGCAGAGTCCTAGAGAAAGAAAATCAGAGAAGTCCCTCGGCATCCACTGTCAATTCCTATCACCCATAGGCTGGCTCTGCTCTTGATGTCCCAGACACTCTTCTTCCAAACTATGAAAGTGAGAAAGAGCAGCAACAGCACCACCAAACATTCTACAGAACATGAAGAGGGCTGTTCCTTCCAAAAGAAGGGAAAGCATATTATGGGAAGTAAGCTTCCTTGACTGAACTGCTGCAGTCCAAGGATGTGGTACATATCACTGCATGCACCAGTGGCCAAAAACATTTTTTCACCCAAGACCCCCTTTTTTTAGGGGGGGGCTGCCTTCGATACTTAAAGGAAGCAAGAGGTTCTATGATGGTGGAGCATCCAATATGAAAAAGAGCACCTTAGGAAACCTGCTGAGCCAGCTGGCTAAAATCTCCTTTGCTTTCTATCAGGGCAACTTTTCTGGGAGAAACTGCAAATGTTCTCATATGGCAATCAGGCAGGCAATTATTACCCTCTATGACTTGAACTTCTTTCCAAATTGACAGCAAACATCATCTTTCAAAATAGTAAATACAGTGTAAAACAAGATAGAAACATGTAACGATATATATACAGTACAAAACTCATTTTGGAAAAGGCCCTACACAATGGGCCTACCCAGAACCAGCTTCAAGCCAAGTGAGAATGAACAGAGCTAGCAACCTCAGCCTCCAATCCCTAGCCATCCCTCGGCTAATGTCGGACTGCCTTAGCAGCCCTCGTTGGCTTGCCACAAAGGCTCGTGTTGTAACAGAGGCTACCATTTCAGCAGCAAAAGCTACCCAGTTTGCAGGGGCCAGGCAAACAGGACAGAAGCCAGGCACAAAGGCCAGCTTCCTGTTTTAAGAGGCCACAGTTGCCTGGTGGTGGCAAAGAATAACTCAGGAGCAGGCTGGATGTTAGTGACGAGGCAGCAAGGCGTTTGCACTCCTAGAAGACACAGACTGAGCAGCAGCACTCTAGGCAGGCAGAGCCCCTTTCCCTGCTAGCATCCCCATGGCCTGTCCTTCTATGCATCCCACAGCAAAGCAAAAGCGCCCCCTACCCATCCTTCTTGTAGAACTCCAGCATCATGTTGTCAGTGGCCACACTGAGCGGTCGCCGGGTCTGATCTAGATGCTTGCGGTCGGTGTGGTCCATATCAGGCGACGGCATGGAATTGTAATTTGCATTGTGGTTCACATGCACAGGGCTGCCATAGTTGCCGGTCAAGTTGAACTCAATGTCTACGTTGGAGAGAACAAAGAGTCCAGTTATTCAGCCTCTTCTGCTAAAGAGACGCTCCTCATCATACATGTATGAATACATCAAATGGGGATGAAGAGCCCAGCAGGCTGATATGACGTTTTAGATAATAGCTGTTCTCAGAAGTGGCATCTAAAAACACTCTGGTCTCAGAAAGGTGCTCTCCTGGAATCATCAAAAATAGAAGATCAGAATCACGATCCCTTGCTATGGGAGCCACAAGCTTAGCTAACAACTAGAGGCATGCAAGATGTGTGTTTTTTTTGGACTACAATTACCAGAAATCTGGGAGTTGTAGTTCAAAAACAAACACGGCTCTGCCTACTCCTACCAACCACATGGGGAGGAAGGAGGAGGGCAAGGGACTGTGGCTGGGCAAGGGCTCCACAGGCCAGAGATCTAGGGACTGGCTATTACCACCAGTTCAGCCTTGAGGCCAATCAGAGGTAAACATGCACATCAGGAACAACTGGAAGGCTGCTTCCTACCTCCTGGAAAGAACCAATCTGCATGCTGGATGAGGGGTTCAATAATTGCAACAATCTGCAGGGAGACGGTTGCCATCATCTCTGTGATATTCCTGAAACAAAAGGGTTGGAAGGGGGCAATACGGAGGAAGGGGGAATGAAGGCAAATAGTCAAGATGGAAGAGGCAGATTCAGAAAGGCCACAATGTGGCAGAATCACAGGGCTGGAAAACATATTTGTTCAACCTGGTGTCTTCCAGAAGGGTTGGTCCTGAATTCCCATAATCTCTCACTGTTATGCTGGTAAAGGATTATGGGAACTGTAGTACAATACATTTAGAGGGTTCTAAGTTTCCTCCAGAGGCAACAGAGGACTGGAGTAGGTGATCATCACGTCCAATGCCCGCCTCCGAAGCAGGGTTGTTCTCTATATATCAGCCTTTTGGAAGCATCCTTGCTTCCTGCCCCACATGCCAGCACTGGCTATGATTATTTGCACTGTGGTGATGAGTTCATTAAACTTTGGTGAGTACTACGGAGTTTCGAATCAAATCCCCAAAACTACAACAGGACCCTGATGGTGAGCAACCTCCACAGACTAAAACAGTCTGCATTTTGACAATGCAAGCTGAGAGAAACACACACAGGAGCTCTAAGGTTACAATTCAATCCATGCTCACCTAGTAGGTAAGACCCACTGAGCACAACAGGTCTTGGTTTTGAGTGAACACCTAGAGGATGGTGAGGCAAGAGCAATGTTTGCACTCATCAGTTATTTTCTCCTTTCCCACAGCACTTACTCAAATCACATGTTACTTACTGCAAAATAGTGTTCATGGTTAACCTAGGCCATTGCCTGACAGAATAAATCTAAAGTTATCAAAAAGTTGAGGTGCTGCAAGTTCGTCAAACCTTGCAAATTAAACAAGTAGTTGTACAATGCAAATCAGGGATGGGCAACTCTCCAGATGTGTTTACCTTGTAATCCCCATCAACCTAACAAGGAAGTGTGTGTGTGGAGGGAGGCAAATAAAAACCAGTCCCAGAGCTTGTACTGTCCAGTCACTTGGTCAAGCACATTAAGCATGAGAGATTTCTAGGCATCAGTTCCTTACCCTTCCGTCTGAGGCCAGAGGAGGTTTGGCCCTAGCACAATCGCTATGTTGCTTGGCGTCATTTTGTTTGCATCCTGGAACTCTGTTAAGTTTGCAAGGAATTTGATCAGGTACCTGCAACAGATTAAAAATAGGACAGATCAAGTTCTGCAACTATCAACCAGGCCATAAGAACCAGTTTAATCACATCTGCTAATCAGCTGCCATACACAGTTTGCCCTGGGGTGAATATTACAGCACTGAGTAGATACGTTTACTTGCAATTTGCTGGCAGCAACCTTTAGGTGAGGGATGAGTAACATGCCACCTGTGTTGCATACGACCAAATGCAGCTCTACCCTTGCCCCATTTAATTTTTTTTTTAAAAAAGTGGTCATAAAGCGCCCTTGCATCCTTCAGAGCAGCAATTTTGCTATGCTTGGCTCTCCTAGCACCTCTAGATCCCTGTATACACTCCTTTCTAATTTAAACATCAATTTTTTAGCAATTAAAGGGAGAGGGGTTCTTTCCATAGAAAGAAAGAAAGACTTAAAAAAATATTTGGGGGTTGGGCAGCACGTGGCAGCATAGTCATCTAACCCCGGTCATCTCTGCTCTAGATCAAGAAACTAATCCTGACCAATAGTGAGACTTATGTATTGCTCAATATCAGGAACCTTATGTAACACAACTATAATGCTCACCCACCTAAACAAGCCAAACAAACAAATCCCACACTCTTGGCCTTTCAACAGACTGGCCAGCACAATAAAAAACTCTCATCTCCTGTCCCTCAAAGGTTTGAATGCTGCTGCTGCAGTCCTCCTCAAGCATTTCCGTACAGCAAACATTCAAATTCCCAACATGAAAAACAGAGATCTTATCACTAACTGGGTTTCAAGCCTCTGGGTACCTTTCTCCAAAACTCACAGGAATTTTAAAAATTGGGGTGTAACACCACCTGTGATCCTGTTTCTTCAACAACAACAAAAAGTTGTGGGAGACTGGAATTGTTTACCTTCCAGCAAGTGCCTCAGGATTACATCTGTGGGGCCAAGTGGAGAAGGCCATGAGCCAACCACATTCAGCCTTCAGGCTCAAGACTTCTTGCTGTGCATTTCAGCAGAGATGGGGAAGCATGTGGTCCTTTGGACATTTCTAAACTACATGTCCCATAGTCCCTCACCACTAAGGCGGCTAAGGCTGAAAAGAGCTATGGTCCAACAACATGGGGGAAGGGTGGGGTGAGGATACTTTACAGCCCTAGATTGTAGGGTTTTTTTTCCTGTCCTGCCCCTTCTCAGTTCTTCTTCATAGGCAGAACTCTACCCTCCAGGCTCACTGCCCTCCATTAGAAGGGTGACAGAAATTATGGTGGAGGGGAACTTGATGAACACAGTAAGGAATGCCTGGACAGTGCTAGCACCTCTTTGAAATAATGGTACTGTGGACAGGAACACCCAGCCCTTGTTAGTGTGTGTGGGAAATACAGCACAGATCTCCAATTCACCACAGCTGCCAAGCTCTCACATTCTGTACCATTTCACTATACAGTCATGCCCCACTTAACGATTATCCCGCATTACGACGAATCTGTTTCACAACAATGTTTTTGCGATCGCAATTGCGATTGCAAAACAATGGTTTAAATTGGGTTTTTTCACTTTGCGAAGATTGGTTCCCTGCTTTGGGAACCGATTCTTCGCATTACGACGATCAAAATAGCTGATCGTGAGGTTTTCAAAATGGCCGTCGGGGGCTCAAAACGGCTCCCTGCTGTGCTTAGGGATGGATTCCTCGCTATACAGGCACGGAAAATGGCCTCCATATGGAGGATCTTCGCTGGATGGTGAGTTTTTACCCCACTGGAATGCATTAACTGGGTTTTAATGCGTTTCAATGGGTTTTTATTTTCGCTTTACGACATTTTTGCTCTACAGCAATTTCGCTGGAACGAATTAACGTCATTAAGCGAGGCACCACTGTACTTCAACTTACGTTCATCACTCAGCATCTTGAAGTGACTACCTTTCAGGTTTCTGTCTCCAAAATGATTACCCCATCATAACTATGGAGCTGTAAAATTACAACCAACAACAGCCAGAAACAAAAGCAGATCCTTCAGCTTGTATACACCTGCCTTAGATTGTTGTAGTTGGCCTTGGGCAACTTCTCAAGGGCGTTCCACAGGGCCTGCAACCTCTTGTCTTGGTCCTGGATGCTATAGAATACAGAAGAATAAGGTGACTGGGATTCATTCAGCAATGAGTCGTTAACTGTCCCAGATTATAGGTAAAACAGAGCCTGGGGTTCCAAATCTCTGAATCTGAAATCATTGTCTCTTTCTTTCTTTCCCCCTTTCCCTTTCCTGCACTTATAGGAGCAGCCACATAGATAGAGTCCTACACACATAAACAAAAGGAGGCATCTCTTGGTCTCTCCACTAATCCAGCACTGAGGTCTGTCACAATACAGATAGGATTGTCATTGCTAGAAAAGCTGCCCGTGCGTTCCATGTTTTCATGAAATGTAGCCACTGCTTCCCCTTTAATGCAATCATTGTGACTGGGCCTGGTCACACATTGACTTACTCTGCAATAACAAGCCCCAGATTGCACTTTCACATCAGATTTGCATACATATTTCAATGGATATTCTAAGAATAAAGGCAGTTTTAAGAGCCAACACCATCTGGGAAGACCAAGAACTCTCAGCTCACCTTTCTTTGTATAAAACGGCAACAGAGGGCTAGAACAGAATTCCTACTTCCAATCTTTTTGGAGAAACTTCAGGCCACACTGAAGATGTAAAGCTGGTATCTACCGTGCCTCAAAAAAGGGCATCTGTGGCATATACCTCAGATTTTAAATAAAACCACCCACCCACCTCTGGCTAAAGCTGTCGGGCACCTGCATTAAATACTTGAAATTAGGCCCTGGATCCAGAGGAAATTAGTTATACACGAAACCTGGAAATTCCACCAGTTGCCATATGACTCAGAAGCAACTCATATTCTCTGGATTAGTCTGGGATGTTAGTGAACTCTTATGAAACTTGGGCCATTTGTGTAGCTTTGAAATATGTGTAGAACTATCCCTCTCAGTATTTATCTCCAGCTTTGGGTGCATTCACACTTCACCAAAGTGGCTCCGAATAGGTTCAGGGGGTGGTGGGATATTGAAGAAAAAAAATTATGCTACCTGCTGCAGTGGCTTTGTACTTCCCCCAATGCAAACAGAAATGGACAACTATCACAGGGCTCTCACTGTTGAGTGAATTTGAGGGTCACCATGTTCTGGGCCAAGTCTCACCCTGTGTTACAGCAGAGTTCAAGCCTGAGTCTTCTTCAAATTAAATCTCAGTTCACTGGGTCTTACTCACAAGTAAGCATCTCCGGAATGAGACCTTGTCTAACATTTTAGTAATGTTATATTTGAAGACAATGTGACGGATAGTACAGAAGCCAGACATCCCAAGAAAAATCCTTTCAGAACTCACTTGGAGGCTTGAATCCATTCTTCGTAGAGTTCAAAGGTCATGAGTGGTTCGGGCAGCTCTCGTAGATAAGACTTCAGTGCCCCTGCGCAAGAGACACAACACATGCATAGCCAAGTAAAAAAGATGTATCATAACTCTAATGGAAAGAGTTTCTTGTCATCCTTATTTTGCTTCTGGGCAGCAGCTGGTTAGTGATACCGCTCTTAAATGACTGTGGTAAGAATAATGCAGAGCGCAGATCCTCCTGGTTGGAGGAAACGAAGAACCAAAACCAAACAGTTTTCTATCCGACCGTTGCTTGGTCATTTGCAGTAATCTAAACAGAGTGTGATGTTTTTCTTTATGCATTTTAGTACATGAGAACAATTTTACCAGGTAATCCAACCTCATCCATTCATTTTGTTGGTTTGTTTTATGTACACGCCACCTTTCACACAATAAAGGACTGTAAAACCCCAGGCCAGGGCCAGGAGGCTTATGTGGGAGTGCCGTCGCTCCCGTCCCGTGCTAACGCGACTCAGACTTCCCCTCCACCTAGAGAGAAGACCAGGAGAAATTTGGCAGGAAAGGAGGGAGGAGAGATAGAGGCGGGGGCAGGGGATATAAAGGAGAAGCGGGATGAGATCCCGGGCGGTTGGGAAATGATTTGGGTCCAGGATCCCTGGACAGGGAAATGGGAGCAGGTAAAGGTTCCCCATGAGGAGGCGGAGAGAAGGAGATGCCAGGGACAACAACCCCGTCCATCTTATTGGGGGGAGACTGAGGCTAAAGAGTGGCGACGACGCCTGAGAGAAGAGAGAGAAGCAGTGGCGAGAGAGTTGGAGGCAAAGAAGGCATGGCATCTCGCAGAGCTACAGAAGATGGGGGTCTACCCGGACCGTGGTTGGCCAGCCCGGGAGAGGGCTCCCCATTCTGGGGTTGGAGTGGGGATGAGGAGACCCTTCCACTATTGGGACCAGAAACAGATGAACGCGAAGAACTGGTCACAGAGAAGATACTATCTGGACCGTGGATATTGGATGAAACCAACCCATTTGTTAGTAATGTTTGGACTCCCTTGAGGTCGAAGTTTAGACCCCAAGAGAACTTAGAAACCGTTCCAAGAGAGGTTCCAGTTAATGTTGAGTTGTTAATAAATGAAGACAAAGTTGAACCGTTAAACAAATCTCGTGCTTTATTGTCCGTGACTGACCCCTACAACACCGAACCCTCACAGGGACCCATACATCCCAAACAGTTGGATGCCCATCTGTATTGCAGTACAGGAAGCTACTTCCTAAACCTAAAGGAGTAAATGAAGTTGTTAATCTCCACTAGAGCAGGACCCATTCATTCATTCATTCATTCATTCATTCATTCATTCATTCATTCATTCATTCATTCATTCATTCATTCAAGGCAGCTTATAACAATTAAAAGACAGTACTTCAGTTAGTAACAAGTTACTTTAATGAGTTTACTCAAGCTGGAACTAATAAGTCCATTTAGCCCACAGCGTTTCAAGGCTATAGTTATATTTTAAGGAGCAACACATGTTCCCTGCCTTTTCTTCACCATTTTCAGATGTTAAATTCATTTTTTTTATTCCAGGTGTAGTTTAAATACTTTGAAAGATTAACCATGTGCAGTTATCATGGTGCTGTGTTTTTTAAAACATTAGTACAAGTTTTTGTTTGATTTTTGAGTGAAACACTATACTTATGTGCTTTAAGGTACATTTTGCTGTGTGTCATGGGATGGTGGAGTGAGGGGTGTGTATACATGATTACCCTTGATTTTAGGAAGTAAAATTATATGGGAGATGGCTTTTGAACACAGATACAGAGGAGTCTAAATTTAGAGCCAGAGAGCAGTGTCCTGGTTTGAGAGGAACAGAATCTACTTATGTTTTTCGTAAGAGATGAGGAATGACTCCAAAGACAGGGAAATAATTCCAGTGAAATCTATTAGACATCTCCATTATTAGCTTGAATAGAGCTTTAGGACAGTGTGACCAACTTAGCCACCTACTTCTCTTAACAAGAATCGGGAATAAATTGCAAAGCAACATGGAGGAGGCTAGGCAAAATAAAGGTCTTTCGGCATCTGCCACGGTCTTCTATATCACTACAATGTCAGCACACATTTAAAAAGCAGGACAAGTTCTCCAACATCTGTACTCAGGCAGTGTCATATATACTCCTAGAAGCAGTTTGTTTGTCCAAACTACTGCTTATTCCCCAAGAAGCCAAGGCAGCAAACCCCACTTACCTGCAATGGCATGGGGATCGGCTGAGTACTCCTGAACGTCTACCACACAGCAGTCGAGCGCTGCCTTTAGCTTCTTTAGTTTCGAGGCTGAGGGAGCCACTCGGAAGAGGCCCTGCAAAGAGGGACAGAAGAGAGAAAGAAAAAGATTGTTCAGGTGTGAAAGCCCTGCCTGCAAACCTCAAGCAACATAATTCTGAGCAACAGAGCCCTGGGGCTGGGCTTCAGTACACACCATCTGCTGGGTAGTATACATGATAATGAGTAATGAGACAGAAGGAAGAGAAGGAGATGGCTGTGACAATGGACAGCAGGAGTTTAAAAGGCATTGGCATGAACAAAAGGAGAAGCAGCCCTTGCTTCTTACTGACCTCCTCTTGCATGCCACATTCGAGGAGCATGGTGACACATGCCTCAATGGGGAAGGCAATCTCCCGGCCGCTGACTGCAAGGTGCTCCTCCAGGGGCTTCCCAAAGGAGGGCTTTTCAATCCAAGCTTCTGTGGAAGGCAAGTTCAGATTTAGTGGCCCCAGAGACCCTCAGGATCCAGATTACAAGAGCTCTTGTAAGACTTGAAAACATAAAACACAACCCCTCAGCAAGTCCTGACCATGGGCCATGGCAGCTGGGCCACCACAAGGCCCCAACCTGTTTTCAGAGTCATCTTCTACCAAGACATCCATGCATGGAGGCTGGAAAGTTACTTCCAATCATCTGTGTGGATAAAACTGCACATGTCTAAAGGCAGGTCGTAACCCTCTGGGACACTAGCCTTTGGATCCCCCTCCCCTTTAGATGGACTTTTGAGGTAACAGACAACATGAATCTACTTTAAAAAGTGTCATTCAATAATGTCTACAAAACTAGAATATGACAATAAAGACCGCAGGAAATAATTTAAAAATAGATAAATTTTACTTCAAAAATGTGAAGTGCTTCTCTAGATAATATGTGGGAACACTCATAATTAAACACAAGTTAAAATTAATCTACAGAAGAGCTTAAAAATGCCAGCAATTATTCATCTCAGATGGCTAATTAAGCCATCTGTTTAATAATGTGTCTCTACAAACCAAGTGGAGAGGCAAACTTTAACGAGGCAACCTTCCTGAGTGATGCCAATCGTAGAGTAAGAGCCAAAAAAGAAAAAGAATGATTATGTGTCATAATTAACCTTCTCACATCTTGAAAAACATTCTGCATAGGAGCGTTGACAGAAACTATGATGTTTTCATCTGAAATCCTTACATAAGGATAGAAGAAGCTAAGAAGAACCCTGGTCGATCAGATCAAGTCCCATCTACTCCAGCATCCCACTTCCACAATGGGCAAGTAGGTGCTTAAAGGAAACAGGTTATGAGATCAAGAGTACCAGCCTGCTCAGGGCGTCCCAGGAACTCCTATGCAGAGCGATATTACTTCTGATAACTGGAGGTAACAAACAGCCATCATTACTAGCAGCTATGGATAAGATTTATCCTCCCCACACTTGCGCAATCCTTCTAAGACCATTCAGGTTCTCAGCTCTTGCTACACCTTGTGGTAGTAAATTCCAGAATTTGATGATGAACAATATGAACAAAAGGCTACTTTAGTCTGGCCTGATTTTCCTACCATTCAGCCTCAGTAGATGATCTGAAGTATCAGTTCAAGGGGATAAACCAACAGAAATACCTTGCCAAGGTAAAACAGTTCAGATTTTTCAGCAGACAGAGGATAGCCTTAGTCAGGGCAAACGTACTGGTGCCCATGCCACTTATAACCATGGTCCCTTAATAGATATCTAACAGTTGCTCTGGGGAACTTAAGAGTCATTCCATGTGAACTCTTAACATTTTAGAGTAAGGAGAAGGCAACAAGCTTGGCAAGGACTTGAAGAGTGGGCTCATTTTAAGTATTCTAGCCACATCCCCCAGATATACTGTATGTATGTATGTATGTATGTATGCATGTATGTATGTATGTGTGTGTGTGTGTATGTGTGTATGTATGTGTGCGTGTGTGCGTGTGTGTGTGTGTGTGTGTGTGTGTGTGTGTGTGTGTGTGTGTGTGTAACTTTTATAATGCCCATCTGGTTGCCAAGGCTACTCTGGGAGGTTTACAATATTATAACATAATGTAACATAATAAATGACAATTTAAAAACAGTGAACATAATAACTATAGAAATCAAAATTAAATATACTGTATACACAAACCATCATAAAATTAACTAGAAATAATTAAAGTAGTATGGAGGCAAGGAGTTGTAACTGATATTGTAAACACTGAAACAGGTTCTGCGCTAAGATGTTATAAGGTCAGGGATTATGTCAAGATGTGATAAGGGCTGTCTGAAAAGCCAGGTTTTCAGTGATGTTTTAAACATTCTGTATCTTGCCAATTTCCTGCCCCTTGGCACCTTTATTTGATGACTACAAGTTGCTTACTATACAACCACCTGGACAGCACACTAGAGGATATAGATTAATGAGCAGAATCGTCTCGCCTTATGACACTTGATAGCAAACAGATTTACAATTAGAGAGAAGGGGTGAGGCAGCCCTACTGGCTCAGCAAGTGGCATTGCATTTTTATGTCCCTCACACAATACGTGACAACAGCAACCCAAGAGACATGTTTCACCACACTTACCCTGCTGTGCTTTGATCTGAGGCAACACACTCTGTAAAAGCGCTAATGACTTTCTGTGGTACTCTGCCTGCACTTCTATTAACTGGGAGAAAGAAAGAAAAAAAATAAGAGGTAGTTATTCAGCCTTTGCTTCCTAGAAATCACCAAGGTTTCACAAAAAAGTAAACTCACCAAAAGCTAACATTTCTGGTACTTACAGTCTGGAAATAGTTTGCATAGTCAATCTCTTTGGCCACAAAATTGTACATGTCAGCTGATAGCTGATCCTGCAGCAAAGAGCAAGAAGAAGAAAGCTTAAAGAATCAGACTCAATGTAACAATAACCAAAGTGTTGCAACCTGACTTGTTTTTACAGAAACTCAAATAAAATCTTAACATACTAAAATAACATCTAACACACACATGAAAAGAAAGGAAAGGGGGAAAAAAGTGCCGTGTCAATTGGATCAGTTTGCACAGCCATACTCCTCCTGGCTGAAATTAGACTGACCAACCTGACGTAAAGGCAAGGGAATTCAGAGAGAGGGGCTCAGGTATTAACCTCTTCTGTTCAAGGAATAATACTTCCTGCTGTCCCAACCCTACCAGGGTTCCATGAGCCAACAAAAGTGGGCTTGAGGCCACCTCCTGGAAGGTGGAAAGCTTTGATCACATACAGATGGAAGAGGAAGTGGCTGGGCACGGGAGGGAGGGAGAGGAAGGAGGGAAGGAAAGAAGGGAGGGAGGATACCCTGCAAATCTCCACTCTGTTTGCTGCCTCTTCCATCTCTTCCCTGAGAGCATCTGCTTTGGCACCCGTAGGCTGCAAGTTGCTCGACAAACCTGAAGACTTGGCTGACTGCTGCCACCTGCCGGAAAAAGGATTGTACATGTTGTTAGCAACAAATCATACCTGACAGTTCTAAGAGAACAGACTGCTGCATGTTGCAATACACATGTGGAATAAGAGTTCAGCAAATCAGGTTATTTTGGCACTTGGGGCAGACCCTCTACAGTAGTAAAATAACAAATTAAATCACCAGAAACTGGTACTGTGTCATGACAACCAGTGCTGGCTCCCTGGCACACCTGCACTGCTGGACAATGCAATTTGTTCTAGGGAAGATGATACAAGAAGCAAATGACCCATGGCTTCTTGACACAGAATTATTGGTTTTGCCCAGCTGAAGCTTAGGCTCTTTCCTCCAGAATTGTGGGAGCTCCTGCAGAGCTCCTCCTCCATGTCTTTCCCCCATAATATGTGAATCCCATATCATGCAGGAGGAGCACATGATGTGGGATTCATTTCTCCCCACGGCCATATTAACCCTGTTTCTGAGCAATCCAGGCTTCTCATCTTAGACTGTTTGGGGGGGGTGGGCACAAAAAGGTGTGGCATTAAAGCACATATATCTATATCTGTATCTATAGATATATATCTACATATCTGTGCCAACCCGTGGGAAGTTGTCCCCTGTTTGACATCTGGGAAGATTTTTATTGTGATTATTATTATCATTCTCCTCAATTAACTCAAGAAGTCTAATCAAAGCAACCACCTGCTTACAACCATTCCAAATTGAAGATCTAATTTCCACACATCAAGAGACCTCAGCTGGATGGGAAATGACAGAAGCACAGTCTGCTTTTTCTCAAACCATTTTCAAGAGGCAAGGCCCTGTCAGCTCTCTTAACCCTGCTACCCTGGCAATGAAATGCATCTCAGGGTGAAAGCATGATCCATATGTATCGCCTCTATAAAAGCCAATTTTTAGGAAATTTTTCTCTTTAGTGTCCCTGGGTTCTTCAATCAACCCAGTTCCCTCTTTTGGCCTTGAGGAACTCACAGTCCGACTGCCAAAGGCAGAGGAACAAACAAGAGAAGGTCAGGACAGAAGCCAAGATTCATTCCAGAACAAACAAGAGAGGTCAGGACAGAAGCCAAGATTCATTCCATGTCTCTTCCCTCCTTTCACCTGTACTCTCTCCCTTTAGAAGTGGGCACAATCAGGAGACCGAAGCAAAAGTGTGTGTTCCCATGAATTTATGTTGCAGAAATCTTACAGGAGTTAAGTCCCATTCTAATTTCTGGGTTTACTCCCAGGTAGTGCAGGCAGCCTCAGCTTGTGACTCCCCATGAGTTTACAAGTGATCATATTTTGTAGCAAAACTACCCATCTTCTGTGACAATATCGGTGCTATATCAGAGGAGCAAGCTGAGCTTCTGCAAAGTAAAAATAGCTTGCTTTTGTGGTGGAGCAAGAGGGAAATAAAAGCAATTTACATATTTTCCAGACATGAGCAGAAATACCAGTTTTGCTGCTTAGTTTGATCAGGATTGGGTGGGTCGGAACATAGCAAAAGAGACTCGACCTTCCTTTCACATTACTGCTTTCATCTCCATGAAAGAAAGTGCCGGGCCCCCTCCCCTCCCTGTAGCCTCCTACAGCTAAAGGGGTTAAGAGAGGGCTATGCTTTAGTGATTATCAGGGTGAGAGGAACTTGGCCAATAAGGCCAGCAGAACCATCACAGTCTGTACAAATGCAGATGAGAAAAATTTAATTTTTCGCTGAATTGACAGTGGCAGAAAAATCTACCTCCGACTACTATAGGAAGAACAAAATCTTTCTTGCCCTCTTTGGGAGCAAGGACCCTGGAAAGCAAGGGCTGCGGGTTACCTTGGAAGTTCATCCTTTGTGCTGGTTGCCCTAAGCCCTCTCTTCCTTCATTCCTTCCTGGTCTCACTGCTGCTGATCCTTTAGTGGGTTGGAGCCCAGAAGAGTCCCTTATCCCAGAGTGAGAGGGAAAAGAGCGGGGGGGGAGGCACACCAGAGAGCCAAGGAAAATGTGGCGTCTTCAAGGACACCTGTGCAGCATGGTGAGACTCTGCCCAACGGTCAGGCTAAAGAAGCTGAAACACCCACTGAATTCTCTCAGAAATCCCCCAGAGGGGGTAGGATTCTTATATGCACAGTCAGGAAACAGCTGCGGGGAAGCAACATCCCCCCTCAAATTTCCAGCTCTCTTGGCTGGGGCTCTGTCTCTCCCATGCGCACACTTCCCCCCCCCCCAAACACATACAGGGGTCCTTTGCGACCAGAACCAAAGGGGCTGAAAATTATCACTGTCAGTGTGAGGAGGGTAGAGTTGCAGGTGCATATCTTAGAGGGAACCTTGATGGGAGGGTTTTGTAGATGTGTTGACTGAATGCCAGGAGGCTGGTGTGACAGGGAGAAGAACTGCAATTGCAACTAGGGTTCAATAGGATCCAGAAAGTGGGTATATAGAAATGCAAAGGTACTGGGCATTGTTTGCAGACAAGCCAGGCAGATCTTCCCTGGCTCTTGGCTAAGCATCCTCTCTAGAAATTCTCCCCACTTAAGCTTCACATTACTGCTTTCCAGAAAATCTTTTCTACAGAAAAATAACCTGGAAAGGTACTTCACTTTCTCAGAATACAGAACGTCAAAAGTCTGAACAGTAACTTTGCAAAATACATCATGATTTACAACTCAGAATGATTCCATATGGGACCTCTATTGCAGGTTTTTTTTTTTGAAAGCTTCCCCTGGGAAAATGTCAACAACTGGATATTTTTAAATATATATGTATATTTTAAAAAAACAAGAATCTGGTCATCTAAAAGTTAGCAAACTGAGAAAGGATAAATCATCTTACCTTGTCTTTGATGAATCCATGTCCAGAACTAATTTTGCTAAGTGCTTCCTCTGTTTTTGAATATTCGGTATTTCTACCTGAAATAATTTTAAGAAAAAACAGTATGTGCATACTCTGCACAGCACCCCATTATATTCTCCATTTATTTAATTCAAATTAAGGCAGAGTTTATTGTCAATATTTTATAAAGCCAGAAGTAGGATTATTATTCACATTTGCTGAAAAACACCCACAACATTTGCTTTGTGTTTGGGTGAGAAGTGGTTAACTGATTTTAAAAAGGAGTCAGCTTCTAGGACTTTCCCTTGCTTGGCGTCACTTTGTGAGAATAGTAGTGAGCAACGTCTCCTCTAATTTTCAGTCGCTCTGCCTCTCTCTCTCTCTCTCTCCCTCCCCTTTGGCTTCACCCCTGCATGCATGCACGACTCCACCCCTCATGCACGCTGGGTTCTGTCAGAACTGGAACCTAACGCAATCACTGCATGTAAGAAGGAAGAGAGCTGCATGAAGAGAAACGGAGTTGTGTCCGCCCACCCGCATGCCCAGCTTAGTGGGAACCTTGCTAGTGAGCACAACAGGGTATCCTGAAGACGACTTTGACTGCTGACATCGGTATTATCAACATGCAGGCAGCCCTTTGCTATGTAAAACTTGGCATCCTTTTTCCTGCTGGCAACATTGGCACAACATTATGCAGCAATATTGGGCCATTTCCTTCTACTTCTATTGTAGCTGCAGAAGCACAATAGCTCACATTCATAAATCAGAGGTTGTTGGGTTTTTTGTTTTTTTTAAAAAAAAGAACCAATTAGTCTTTTTAAACTGAATGTGAATCTGTGCTGCCCCTCACTGAGAAAGAGTGATTGTATCACCAAAGATCTTACCCAGCCAGAACTCTTGTTACCTGGTCCCCAGAACATTTATTCCCCCACAAGGAGAAATCCCACCAGCACCTAAATGCTAACGTTCCTCTTTTCCTTCCTCAAGCATAGAATTATAGAAAAATGAAGTTGGAAGGGGCCTACAAGGCCATCAATTCCAACCCTCTGCTCAATGCAGGAATATAATCAAAGCAATATCTGCCAGGTGATTATCCAAGTTTTTTCTGAATGCCTCCAGTGTTGGAGCACTCACCAACTCCCGAGGTAGCTGGTTCCACTGTCGTACTGTGAAATGACCCAAACCCACTCCAGAGCCCTTTTCTCCCTAGTGGATAGTACCACTCCCATCAAAGTGCTTCAAAACAGTGCTCAGGGTGGCAACTCTCTACTCCTGCTGAGGCAATTCTCACCTCAGCCAATACGAAGAGAGGCTCAATCACATCCCTTTCAACTTGCAGCTCAAAATGGATGAGCTCTTGGGCTAGCTTGTCCTCTGCTTCCCCGCATAGCTTCAGCATCTTCCTGCGAGGGAAGAAACAAATATTTTGCTAAGGGGAAAGATGAGTGACAGAAAAAAAAATAAAAGAAGGACATGATCCCAAAAGGCAGAAGGGCTTCTGTAGTGCTGGTGGTGATGCATAACGATTTCATGTTATTCCAGGCTTCACACCATTATGTTTACCATTTGAGAAAACCAGAGGGTAGAAGTACTACCGTATTTTTTGCTCCATAAGACGCACCTGACCTTAAGATGCACCTAATTTTTAGAGGAGGAACACAGGGAAAATATATTCTGAACCAAACAGTGTAATAAAATATTTAATAAACTATAACAGAATAACATTTGAACCATGTAAAGTGAACAGCAGTCAACAGTGGCAGTAATATAGACCATTATCAGCCAGTGATAAGACCTATACCACTCTACTTATATTTTACATTTCCTTTCATCCACCTCCTCCCCATGCTTATAGAAATGTCTCAATGACAGATGAGATTGTTGTGCAACTCTGCCCAGCTACAGCTCAAGCCTATATTAAGTCAGAAATGGTTTGTCTGATTTGGCACTGCATTGAGAGGTCCCTTTTAGTTGTGTGGAGGATAAATAGTGGAATTAAACTATTTA